AAAGAGAATATATAGTGTGTTGGATTGGTCCAGACGCTACAAGGTATTCCCAAAAATCTACTCATTCAAGTTGATCTGTTCAATCCTGTACGGCATAAGATGTCCATTACACATTTGAAATCACCATGGCGTCAGTAAACACTTGCATAAGAGGGTGTTTCCTTCCAAATCTTTTGACACGGTTTTTGTGTCAAATGAGTCACGAGTCAACCTGTTTGATGATATCCATCTTTAGAAGAGGGAATAAAGTAGTCTTGACAAATTGTGTATTAAGTTGTCACTTGCAATTTTTCCAGATTTACTCCACTGACATAAAACCACCACCACAACAACTAGGCTAAATCTCTACGCTAGTCCCAGTAATCCTTGTGCACCGCATGTCACAATTTGCTCTCAAGGTGGGCACATTGTAATTAGCTCTGACAGGTAATCCAATAAATGTGCTCTTGGAATTCCTGGAATAGCACAGAGAAAATCCCTGTCCTAAAAGAGGGAAGGGTGAGGTATGTCTGGTGTTTCCAAGGGAGTTAATTAAATCCAGGGTGATTAAAGGTAGGGCAGACCTGTATCATGTGAATGTTTTTGAAAGTTTCAAATGCAGCTTAGGATCTAAATGTTTGATCTGATGAGAAGAAATTTATAGGGACACGGAAAAGTCCAGACAAAATGAAAGGTTACCTATTTTTTTCTACTAAATAGATGATGAGTCCTGTCAGCATTATAGTTTAAAATCTTGTAAATGTTACAAACTAATAAATAAGAGTCCCAGATATTAAACCTAAATTTTGACTGTTGTGTGGTTCATTTTCTAACTTATGTTAATTTTATTAACATAAATTCAAACGGTAGGCTAAATGTTTTGGTACTCTTTGAATGTTGTCTGACAGCACAGAGGCCTATTTAATAAATACAAATGCACATTACAAGATATTTTAAAAGATGCATTGCAACTTTACTGAATAACATAATGTTATTTCCCATAAATTGAGAAATGGCAGACGGCAACAAATCATTGTGAGGTGCAGGTGGTGACGTTTGTTTACAAAAATATTGTTTACAAATAATTGACACAATATCTTTAGTTTGGCCATTAAGAAAGAAAGCTTGCATCTTTCCAACTGTCATCGTGTGTATGTATAATAAATATGTATAACTGCATAGGCAGTGTACTGAAAAAAAGGTAACACATTATTATAATATATAACTTTGCAACTCCATGTCAACTAGCATTATAACAGACTATCTGCTTAATATCTGCTAACACTTTATTTTGATGTTCCGCCATCAGACATTCAACTGCACTGACTATAAATAACTATCAACTTATTTTTTTAAAAGTACATATTAACTTATTTTACTAACAGCCTATAAATACTCTAATGGGAATTAGTTGACATGTAGCTGCAAATTGCTGAGCGTTATGACATGTTGCAAACAGTAGAATGAAGTAGACTATCAAAATAAAGTGTAAGCTACAAAGATTAAACACACTTGCTACCAACACACCCCAAAGTGGAGGCACTGTGTGTTATAGCATTACTAAATAAAAGCATCCAGCTGAAATATTCAAAATATATGCACTGCAAAGTTGTGTGAAAGAATATGATTTACTCACTAAATCCAGAAGGGCAAATGTCATAGGATGCAGCCACTGTTTTTTACATTTGAGTTTTTATGATTTTTTCAATGCTCTTGGAGACTCTCAGTGCCGGTCCACTGTCAATCCTGCAAACTCGTAGGAGAAAGAGTTGAAAATGCACACTCTGCTCTACACTTGAATGCCTGTGTAAATGCACTGTAACAGTGGAAAAATCAATGTGGCAGATAATGTTAATTGGTAAGGGGTTTGCATGGAGATAGAGAAGGAGACCCGACATAAGTACACTGTATATGAAATAACCATGATATTTACAAATGAACCTAAACACAGTTGCTACTCGTAACTGCCATTAGTCACTGAACCAAACATGACCCAATGAATTTATTAGAGTACCCACAACAGTTTATGTGTAAGCGTCAAACTGAGACTTAAAGCCTGGGCATTATGCCAACCCATTACACTCTTAAAAATAAAGGTGCTTCACGATGCCATAGAAGAACCTTTTTGTCTAAAGGGTTCCATAAAGAACCTTTAACATCTGAAGAACCTTTCTGTTTCACAAAGGGTTCTTTGTGGTGAAAGAACGTTCTTCAGATTATAAAAAGGTAAGAAAGAGATGGTTCTTTAAAGAACCTTTGACTGAATGGTTCTTTGTGGAACCAAAATGGTTCTATATGGCATCGCTTGAAGAACCTTTTGAAGCACCTTTATTTTTAAGAGTGTATGGGCAACGTCCAAAATCAGTGAACAGGATAAAGTCATGTTGCTTAAGTTTGACGCTGAACTGAAAAAGATAAGCATAATACAGTAAATTAGAAAACATGCACCAGAGAGAGGGCAATAGACCTAATAAGAGACAGGTGGCATGAAAAGTTGTAGGTAAGAAGTACAGGAATAAGATTAAAAGAGGGAAGCTTCCTGGAAAAGAGGGTATGACAGATGTCAGGTCCAGGCTTAACCATCCCCTGATTACCACATGCAATTAAAATAAAATCAAACAAAAACCGGTGGTGTCTTGAATTAACCTCAATGAACTTGATACAGACATCAGCAAAAGCTGCTGTCGCTTAATTCACACTACTCAGTGAAAGTGATGACAGTTCGTGAGATGAATTCAACATAAGATAAAACAAATAAACCTTATTTTTTAAGCCATTCATACAAATAACTGATACTTCCAGTTATACACTTTAGTAAGAAACAACATGTCAAGCTAAGGAAATATAAGTATGTCTCTACAACAAGGCCTTGCTTTACAAAAGGTCACAAAAGGTCAGTTTAGTTGTCTGGATGCCACTATCTGTGCCAAAATGATCTGATGTCTCATTAAGAGGACTAAGACTGTCAGTTGAGGACATAACTGTATGTTAAAAACGTATTGTTATTGACTTTAGTGCACTTTTCATACATTTAAGCATGTTTATAATCCCTTATAATAACTAATGAAATCAGTCAGCTGTGTGATCCAAGCAAAAAATTAGGGAAAGTTGTGCTCTCAAACAGAGGATCTCTGGAGTTCAGTTAAAAGGTAATTAATTCATTAATTGGGAAAACCACCATCACATATTTATATGATAAATAAATTGATCATTTTTTAAAATGCTATTTGTAACAATTACACTGCGTAACGCCATGCAAAATATAAATTCATAAACACACGTTTTGCTGGAAAAACAATGGTATGCAGTGCAAAACCGTACTGATTTGTGCAATGCTTTCTTGATCATCTCAAGTCCGTTTTGCATTTTAACAAAACCTAAAATATAAAAAAATGTTACTTAGCTAGATACAGTAATGTTGCAATTGTTAAGCTAGTAAAATTCTAAATAATGCTTGATATGTCACCCAAACTAAATGTTTAAATTCATAAGGCATAACATGTATATGATCAACAAGTTTAAGATGTAGTGACAACTGGGCATTTGCCTAGTAATCATTATTATTGTAATCATTTATGGAAGGGGACAGTCCCAAGCTGTTGATTTGGGGCTCAGAGGCTCAGCCATGTCAAATCCCTCTTTAACGACTTAAACCTGCATTCAAAGGTAACAGTCTAAGTTCACCTGCTCCACCCCCACTCACTCACCCACCCACCCATCAGCAGCCAATGTCATCGATCAGCACTCATTCTTCCCTTTACATTTGAGAGTTTCATTACAACAGACGCTGTTCTTCCTCTGTTAGCACTCTGTTAACATCTATCAATCCATCTGTCTATCATTTCTTGAAAGGACAATTGAACACCAAGTTTTTAATGGGACATTAATTACAGGCACCCACCAAAAGAGAGATTCTCTGGGAACATCTCAGCAAGAGAAGCTACATAATATAGTGTATCTCTGGTCAGAAAGGAGGACCTGACAAACAAAGCTTCCTGAACCCCTGCCTGTGCTCTCCACCAGCAGCCGAAAATGGGGAATGCCAAAAGCAGCGCTATGTCCAAGGAGATCCTGGAGGATCTCAAACTCAATACCAGATTCTCAGAGAACGAACTGTCACAGTGGTACGAGAACTTCCAGAAGCAGTGTCCGTCTGGTCGGATCTCACCAGACGAATTTAAAAAGATCTACGAACGCTTTTTCCCAGACAGTGATGCCGCAGCATACGCCCAGCACGTCTTCCGCTCCTTTGACACGAATGATGATGGAACGTTGGATTTCAAGGAATACATTATTGCTCTACACATGACATCAACTGGAAAGACGGAGCGAAAGCTGGAGTGGGCCTTTTCACTTTTTGATGTCGACAAGAACGGCTACATCACCAAGTCAGAAGTGGCAGAAATCTGTCAGGTAGGTCAAATGTTGGTGAACATCTTCATAAGTCTTCATTTGTGGCTTCCTTTTGAAACCATACCATAAATGAGTGAGTTTGCTATTTATGTTGAGAGACTGGGGCTAGTTGCAGAAAAAAGATTATTGAACGTATGTTGATCTTTTGCCACAACATGCCCCTATGCAGGATATGCTGTCACACTATATGTTGTCACACAGAGGCAAGTAGTCACAATGGAACCTGGCATTGATTGAACAGCCAATAACAATGAAATGTAAGTAAAACAAATGAAAAAATAACTAAAATAAATAAAAATAAAAATTGTTAATTTAAAACACATGACAAATTGCTCAGACAAAACTGACAGCTTGCTCCGACCAGATATTCATTGTCCTGAAATCACAGTTCATCATATTTGGGTAAAAACTGCCTTAATTAGTTGACTCTTTCCTAAATGCATCCAAGTGTGGTTTTATTGTGTTTTCTTGTTTAAAGCTGTAACGAATGAACGTTTTTAAAACAAAACTCTCAAACCCTTAAAAAAAAGAAGTTTATTCAAGTATGCTATTATATTATAAGTGTGCTATTAGTATATTTTTAAACTTAAAATACATTAGGTAAGTTTACTTTCAGTCTACTTTTTATGTACTTTGTTGTTGTACAGTAGTTGTGTACTCAAAGTTTACTACTGTGATTAAAAGTATATTAGTATACATTAGTGTATTAGTTTAGTATGAGTCTATTATTAAATGTAGGACTAGGTGTGTGAAACAAAACACAGGGTCTGGGAAATGTTAAAAGTATGCTTAAAAGTATACTTTTATAAACTAAAAAGTGGGCCAATTTAGTCCCAAGAAGTATTGAAATAGTACTCTTACAAGTATACTACTAGTACATCCATATTAGTATACTTACTACACATAAATTATAATTGAACTTCACTTAAGTATACTTAATAAAATTAACTTAAAGAATACTTTTTTTGTAAAGGAAAAGACAGTTTTGAAGATACTTGAAAAACATATTTGTGTAACTTGGCATTTGACTCAAATCCTTACAGTTACTGAAATATAGCCCCTCACTGTTGAACGGGGTCAGAGGATATATCATGAGCTCGATTACGATTCTAATCTTTCTCTTGATGATGCATCACATATATAATCACAGAATATATAAATCAATTTTCTCTCTATTCTCACTGTGAATTTTGTTCAGTCAGCAATATTAAACAAACACAGAATACAAGGCCTCAGTAAAAAGAAAGAAGCCAAATGTCTTATGAGCTTTGACTTAACAAGCCGTTGCCTTGGAGCATGGCTAATGCAGTCGGTCGAATCCCAGAATAATTCATCCGATAAATGGTTTAGCTTGAACAATAAACATACACAGAGGCTTTTTCGAATGCAGACAGCCATTAGCACAGAGACAGGTGGGTGGGGGGATTACAAAGTAAGATGCTTTTTTTTAGAAAGATGCTGGATAAGTGGGTTGCAGAAGTCACAGTAAACAGTGGGAACATGAGGCTTAAATTACACAGTATATATCCAGCAAGACAAACACAAGAAAAAAAAGTTTATTTTATGGTTTTTATTAAGCAGGAAAAAAGTCATACATCAGGAGCAAAACTTAAGATACAGTATAGAATCAGGGAATACAGTTATATTTTCAGTGCATTGTTTAATATTGTTAGGCATTTATGGATGTATCAAATGTTATCCTAACACAGCTACACACCATGAGGTCACTGTGAGCACTAGTTTGGTGGTTTATAAGTATAAATGTCACTGTCATCGTGCCAGTGACTGAATGCAAAAGAGCATTAAAGACTGAGCTGTGCTGAGGCAATGCAGTGTGTGTGGTTTTGGCAGGAGCTTTGGCACTGTCTCTAATCTGTATTATTCTTACGTGTCTTATATGTGTCTGAGATAAACATCTCCTCGGCTCACTGGACCACTCAGATCCAGGTCAGCAGTGGTCAGGAAAAACTAAAGTCTGTAGATGACCCTTGGCATTAGTGGTCCTAATCTATGATGATTAGCTCCAGACAAGCATCATCAGAAGAGCAGATGGTCATTCACTTGACACTCCAATTAACTAATGGGTGTGCCTGTCACAGGGATTTTTACGGTCAACTACATTTTGTCTGAAAATGAATCATGTTTGGGTAAATACAGTAATTAGGTTACCTGTATTGAGATGAGGTGTTTAGTTTTGGAGTGTTTGGGGGAAAATGCTGTTAGAATTGGAAATGGTGGCTAGACTATATTATTAGTATAAAATAATCACACACACACACACTGGTTTTCATGTTTTATGGGGACATTCCATAGACATAATGGTTTTTATATTATACAAACTGTTTTATATTCCCTTACTCTAACTCTACCCCTCACACAAAGAGATTCTGCTATTTTAGATTTTCAAAAAGATCACTGATTTATAAGCTGTTTTTCTCATGGGGACCAAAAATGTCCCCACAAGGTCAAAAATGACTGGTATTACTATTCTTGTAGGGACATTTGGTCCCCATAATGCAGGCCATACCAGGTACACACACAAACACATAACAGATTAAATGGCAAATAGCAAGAAAATAATTTACAGCATTTAATATTATATAACTATATTATAATATATGACTACATGATATATTACGTTTAAGTAGTATATATTTATTCTATTATAACATAATTAATTTAATTAAAGTTGTCGTTATGATATGCTTCATAATGGCCAGAGTTTCAAGCCCAGAGTGTAAATGATAGAGAGAGAGGTTTTAGAAATAACTGCACATAGAATTAGTCTGTTATTTCTTTCTTCCCTCCTCACCTCCACTTTTCTTCCATCTTGCTGATCCTCAGTCTATCTTTAAGTTGATCCCCAAAGAAGAGCAGGAAAATCTTCCAGCAGACGAGAACACTCCCGAGAAGAGAGCAGACAAACTGTGGTCGTTCTTCAATAAAAAAGACAATGGTAATATTGTGTTTTTATGTTAATATATGTTCATATGTTTTACATATAGTTTTTATATAACCCTTTACTGTTCATATATTTCATATATTTTCTCATATCTGTCATCCATGGACACGTGATAAGAGATTCAAGTGTGCTATTT